GAGGAGCACCAGGGGATCTCTGGTTAAATCCACTGGTGGCACCCAAGAACTTGTCAGGATGGTTGCTCCCAGTTCACCCAACTGCAGAGCAGATCTGAGGGGATCTGGGTGTGCTCCTTCTGCTCCCGTTGTCCCACCACAGCTGAGGAGAGATGTTCAGCTGTGCTTGAAGTGACACCTCGTGGACCCTGAGAGGTCTGTCCCTCAGTGCAGAGCCAGGAGAGCTCATCTCAGCTGCCCTGTGCTGGCTCCTCGTGGAGATGGAGGATGGTCACAGTTGGTTCCTCTCCAAACAAGCTGCCCACTGCTGAGAGCAGAGGAACCCAGTTGCCAAGGGCACGTGGCCAAGCCTTCAGCCCAACTCATCATCTCTGAAGAAGATCTCAGCTCTCCCCTCCCAGCCAGGGGCACACTGGGCTCCTCACAACTGCCTGCAGCAGCCTTGTTGGACCCTTGGTGCTGAGGTGTCTTCTCCATGGGGCTGCTCCCAAGCACAGCCATGCCCTGGTGGAGCTGTGCCCTTGGGCTGGGCAGGACCCAAATGTCCAACCTCTGGCACGTCCTGAAGGGAGGGGGAGATGGTTGCCAGCCCTACACAAGGAAGAGCCCAGAGCCCTAGAGTTTGGGAGGGGATTTGGCTGGTTGTCCTCCATGGATGGATCTGCACAACGTGACTGGCAGCACTGGTGCCTCACCTGAACCCTCACTCACCTCAGCAGAGGTTGGGTGGGAGTAGAAACCAACGGGTCACCTGGTCTCCAAGAACTTGAGGGTGGGGGTCTCTGCTGGGTGGGAGTGAGGAGAGCAGGAGGTTGCTCCAAGGAAGGTGCTGCCCTGCTGGGGGTGGCAGGAAGGCACCAAATGCCCCCTCCCCACTGTGTCTCTGGCAGCAGGTCCTTCTCCATCCCTGCCACGTCTCTCCCTACCAACAGCCATTTCTCTGTCCCAGCTTCTCCTCCCTGCCTGTGCCCACAGGGCACCTCTGAGGGTGCAGGGCCAGCTCATTGAAGACCTACCTAGACCTGGGCTCTACTGCCTTCTCCAGAGCAGAACAAGTCTGTCCCACCACCCTTCCCCAGGAAGACCTCCCTGAAATTCTCCACCAAAACGCCCCTTTGCCAAGGTCGTGGGAGTGATGTGGAGCTGGGAGCAGCCCTGAGACACCCAGCAACCCGTGGACAGGAGAAGGACCCTGCCCTGCCATCCCAG